ATGGCCACAGACCACGTGTCAGGGGCGGAAAAATGGCCACAGACCACGTGTCAGGGGTGGAAAATGGCCACGGACCACGTGTCAGGGGCGGAAAATGGCCACGGACCATGTGTCATGGGAGGGAAAATGGCCGCGGACCACGTGTCACGGGAAGGAAAATGGCCGCGGATCCGGTTCGTAACTCGAGGTGGTTCGCAACACGAGGTAAATTTTCGGGGCCGGAGCTGGTCGTAACATGAAAAATTCATAAGCAGAGGCGTTCGTAACTCGAGGTTCCACTGTACTTAGCAGAGTTTCCCAAAGTAAGAGATGAAAAGTAAATCAAACAGATTGCATTCTTCACGCCAGAAAAATATATGAAGCTGTCTTTGACTCAGACCCAGCTGGGTGACTGCTAGTAGACAGTTGCTAAAAAGTTAGGCAGATTGAACCAGGTTAGTATTTGGTGGGAAACCACCAGGAAATCCCCAGGCTGTAGACTAGAATGGGAAGCTGGAAAAATATCCCAGAAGAATCAACAGCAAACCATTTCTCCTCCGTTGCCAAAGAAAAGTATAGATGTGTTCATGAAGCCTCCAGGAAATGGATCTGACTTCAAGGAGATTTTTTCCATACTCTTTTTCTTTCACATAAGCTAGAATCCTTTTTTTCACTATCAATTGATAAAAAAAGATAAACTGCTAGTCAACTTTTCATGCATTCCCTTTGTAATGGCTTCTTGGCATATCTTGCATTTATTTTCCATACTGTGAAGAAATTTTTTTTTTCATAAGTCATCATTCAGTGGTACAGTCGCAACATAGTCCTTTCAAGAGCACTTCTGCTTACTATTTATGTGCAAAGTAATTTTTCCCTTATTCAAACTCTATCTACAGGTGATATACGTTAGTTGCCAAACAAGCTACGTCCACCCACTGTCATACTTACCTGCAAGCTTCATTGTTCTCACTGCTTTCATTCCCACTCAACTGATTACCAACTTTAGATCCATTTTCTTGCTTTGGCTCTTGCTGGTCTTCAGGAAGCAACAGCAAAGCATTTCTTAGACAAATCGCTGCAAACTCCATGCTGGCTACAGGAATAGCTGAAGATTGGCCATCGCTTGCAAAGAAAAAAGCAGTATATTGATTTCCCCCCCTTTTTAACACTTGTCCCATTTGTTTGCACTGCATTTGTGTAGTTCACACAATGAAGCCATCAATGCATGATGTGACAAAGGGCTTGTTCTTCAGCTAGTTCGTCACAGAGTCTGACACTGTTTTGAAGTTGAGACACAGTGATTGGCCCACGATTACCCTGTGGCTTCTGTGCCTAAGAGAGGACTACATCCTGGTTTCCCCCTACCCCTAGTCCAGCACCTTAACCACTACACAACACCGTTTAAAGAGAGTTTCAAAATGCGTCCATTTTTTTTTATTTACATGCAAGTTGATTGGAACATTTATAAAGAAATGTTCGGTTTTAGAAACCGAAAAAGAAATATTTATATTGAGCAACAAAGAAAAGGATGGGTTAATTTGATTTATTTTGTATCCCCCAAAACATGTCTCTTTTAAAAGAATCTTAAATGTATTAAACTTAATAGTTTACATAATCATCTAACTAGATTCTACATTCAGAATCTATTCAACTTTCCAAAGTCACAGTCAACTGTACAGGGTATTCTGTAAATAAGGACTAAATCTGATACACTTGCAATATAAAAAAAGACTTTGGGGAACATGTTAAGCCTATTTTTCCATTTACACTCACTTTTGCAAACATTTACAGCATTTCCTCTAAAACCAAAGATTTGTATGATTAATAAACAAAAATAGCAAAACGCAACAATAGTTAAGAAATTTTCCAACCAACTACTCACCCTTACATTAAAGAAACCAAATACTACCCCAAAGTACTTACTTATAAACAATGTTCTGCACAGACTGTGATGCTAAGACGATTTTACGATGATAGCCCTGACCTACAATGGACTGTACAATCCCCTTTTTGCTTGGAAGGCCCTTTGTTTCTTGTTCCAAACTCTAGGAAAAAACATTGAGGACATCAGGAGGTTGACATGCTCTCTCCCTGCTCCTATCCAGAATTTTATTTCCAGTCCTGGTCACAGAATGCTTATATTCAACATTACAACTATAAGGGCTGGGATGGGGGGCACAAGATTTTCCAAGCAGGCCAACCTGCACTTTATTTATTTATTTATTTATTAAATTTGTCCCCCGCACATCTCCCCCCAATAGGGGACTCTGGGT